ATTGTTCAAAGTCTAAGAGTCACAACGTGTTTTTCACAACACAAATTACATTTGAGCAGCAAGAACCAAGATTATACGCTAATTAGTATCACAGCAGTGTAATAATATCAAGACCTTTGACTTATGTCAAGGTAACCCTCAGATTCCAGAGAACTCTTAGGGTTTCTGGACAAAGGAATTACCGAGGCAGTCGCAGATCACGAGATTAAATCACAGTAACAGCAGCTCAAAAATTTATACAATTAATTTGCAGTATTAATCGTAAAACTAGAACAATCTCACCAGATCCTTTCAATAGGGTTTCAAGAAATAACGAAGGTTAGGAAAAGCAAGTGTCACAGTTTCAGATCTACACGAGTTAGAGTCAAGAACCTCCGTCCGAATGCTCTGATACCACTGTAAAGAGGAGGTTCCACAATATGAGATTTAATCAACAAAGAAAAATACATCAAGGTAGTAACAAGATGAAAGTATTAAAGCACAAAATCGGAGATCTCATTTAAGATGCCCTAAGGCAGTAACAAGATGAAATATTCGACCAATGAATAAGATGCTTCTTCCACCATCAGACCACTGTGAGTGTTAATCACACACCAAGGCTTAGATATTAGGGTATTTTCGCACTCAGACCAAAGATCACCCAAGATCATAGAAGATACAATCTTCTCACTTCACAAATCGGTTCACCCAAGAACACAATACACTTCTCAGTGATAATCACTCAAGATTACAAAATCAGTTTTGAACGAGTGTTGAAAATCAAGAAGATCGTTGATTTTCAGAGAAGAAGAAGGAGATGAAACTCGAACGGCCAGAGCAAAATGAAGAATCTAGAAGAATGAAAAAATCACGCGTCTCAAAACCCTAGGACTCTCCTTTATATGAGTCACCAGATGGTCAAGCATCCAACGGTCAAGGAACTGACACATGGCATCATCATGAAGGTCCAAAAGGAGAAACACGGTTTTGCAAATTTAAGTGCGTTTTTGTTTAAGGGATCAGCTAACACGTTCAAACAGCAAATAAAAGGCCAACTGATCAACTCACACTAATAGCATCATTTTGCCATACCCTTTCATAATCGATTTAAGAGGTGTGGATTTCTGTCTATGGATTTGAAATTAAGTGGGCTGTGGGTGATTATTACAATCTTCTTTACCGTGAATTATCATTTAGTGTTCTGAGATAGATAAAAAGTAAACGGTGTTTTGGGGTTTTACTTTCGTATAGAAAAAATTGAAAATTTTTAGGAGTTGTTCTCTTCGTATTTCAATTTTATAGTTTTGAGTTTGGAATTCATTTTGAATTTTGTGTTTTGAGTGCCTATTTTGAAATGATTGAAAATACGTTCTTTTTGTCATTTTGAAAAACTGTTTCTCAAAACATAAAACTGAAAAATGCATTTATTTTGAAATTTTGAGTATTTTTTTATAATATTTTATTCAAAAAATCTGATTATTCAATAAATTTTAATATTTTAATGTTAATATAGTATTACATAATATATAAATTTTGAAGTTGGTGAATCTTGAAATATTTTTTCTCCCAAATATAAAAAAACACAACATAAGGGTGCGTTTAATTGCAAGTATAGAATTCATGTGGAAACAACATAAATTTTAGATAATTTAATTGTCTTGAAATTATTTGTATGAAAAATGTCAATTAAATATGCTTGATTGACTTAATTTTCAAACTAGAAAATATTGTACTTTTCCATCTTTTGTTTGATAGTTATTATTTTTCATGGAAATAGTCATTTTTCCCCAACTTTTGTTCTTCATGGAAATGCCTAATACAATTATTTATTACAATCATTTGCATGACCGTTGTCCAAAACAAACCCAAATATTGTGTTGGCATCAACATTGATTCCTTGTTGTAGCCATGTGACCCTCTATCACGTATTAAATAAAAATTCAATTAAAAAAAAACATGTAAATTATATATTATAAATATACAAGTCAAATAATTAATTTAGCCCTTTGCATATAAAACAAACATATATCAACGACCAAACTATGCGCTTAGCACTTAGCATGATTTTACCATGATTCAGATGGCGCAGTCACTCCTTGTTTGATCATGTAAACCTGGTCACTACATTTTGACAAGTGCGTAAGGTTGTGCCCTTCTAAAAGATCAAATTATTGAAAACACTATCATGCTTGCACAACAACTTGCATAAAGAAGAGAATTTACTCCAACATGAAAGATGGAATTGAGAGATTCTGCTGAGCTCCTCTCCGTTTTAAGTAAACGGCCTGCTGCTTATACTTGCCTTTTTGTTTCCATATATGTACAAATTACAAACCAATGTTCCACCACAATTTCCATTTTCATTTTCACAGTGGAAGTGTTCAATGCACTTAATTGCCTCTTAACATCTTAAATAACGACAATGCTCAAAGGTTCAACAAACAATTTAACACAAACATGAAAGTGAAAAACCATTCCTTATAAGCTGAAAATTTGAAGCCAAAATTAAGATTTGCTGGACATATTTTTTCTCTACTTACAATGAGAAACAACAGTAGTAACTGCTCTTCATAGAAAAAGAAATGATGCTTAAACATATACCAATTCATCAATTTCAGCACTAGATCCAAGCTCTAAAAGCTGATCAGCTTCATCAAGTATCAAAACAGCAAGCTCATCTAGACGTACTGACAAAGAATTGCGTAGATGATCTATCATACGTCCTGGAGTTGCTACTACTATATCTGGCATTGATCTCAAGGCTGCCTCTTGAACCTGAAATGATTTCTAAACATCAGCAACCACAAAATATAACTTGTCGTTAAAATATAATGGAAATCAGTATACATAACTTTTCATACAACTCCCTCCCCATCCAGTAAATGAGCTTAGGAGCATAACTTTGTGAGAGAGACATTTATCTCCATCTTGTCCCTCAAACAACTCGCAGTTCTTGCTACAGAGTAAAAATCCTTTGATTTCAACCATTTCCATTCTTGATCAAACAACCCAATATCCTCCATCACTTAAACAACCCTTTAAAATCCTGATCACTAATCAGCAATAACATAAATTCATAAAGACCAAATCCCGCACAAAAAAACTCAATTTTTCATCAATATTCCCTAAATTCTGCTAGTGATAGCCTTTAACCCGAGCTGAGGTAAGTTCATATCTCCAAAAGCATAATGCTACGTCATAAAGTTCCATATTTATAAATCAAGCTTTTTATCAAACTTCCACTATCAACTGCCACGAGTAACAATCCCAATTAATGAATTCACAAATTCCGGGCAAGAAATGGCATATATAAAGTTCGAAAAATATCCAGAAAAGAACAACATTTTCAACTTTTTTTTACCCCAGTAATATCACCTAGAAGAATCTCCCTTCGAAACCCCAACTTCAAACAGCTCACAAATCACATAAAAGCCAAAAATCACAGATACAAAATTACAACACGGCAAGAAAATTAGACCAACCGCTCCAAAATCCGAGCAGATTCCCAAGCTAAACATTGAGCAAATTGATGTTTGGATAATGCGGGAAAAGTAGAAACCCTAGGCTTTTATTCTCTTTTACAGGGAACGCCACCACCAGTCACCACTGCCAACGCAACCACCAAAATCAACAGTTAACTTCGCCTCCCCCAAACCGTAGTCGACGTAGAAGAGAGAGGAGATGAAGACGGGCCCAAACGAATGGGTCGCGACGCAGCACCTTCGTCGCCTCCCCATGCTGAAGTCGGCGTCGAGAAGAGAGGAGAAAGAGATTTGAAGGAAGAGAGAAGGGAAGGGAAGGGAAAGGAGACGGCTCAATGGTTTCTCTCTCCTGTTTTCCGCGTTTTCAACGTCTTTGAGTTTTGTACACAAAACGTCCAAAACGTAAAATTGGACGTTTCGCGTTTCTTTACAAATTTTTTTTTTTTTCGAAAATTCGTTTTTAAAAACGAAAAAGAGAATGTGCTTTCACTATTGTAAAGAGAACGGGACCTTAGTGTTTGAAAGGTTTAGTTAAAGGGTCTCGGGGAGGAATTTACACATCTATTTGATTTAAATTTGGGAGTGAGCTAATTTTTTTGATAGCTTGATTTAAATTTTTAATTTTTCAGAGGGAAGTGATTGGTGCTTCTAGATTCTCAAGATAGTGTATCTTTCACTTTTTTCCTTGTCAATGTGGTGATCTTAATGGCAAAAGAGAACAAGGATGAATTGCACTTATAGAGCAACGTCAACGAGTAGCTGTGAGGGTAATAAGTTAAAGTTTGATGACTAATGTAAAACAAACTTATAAATTAAAGTTTGATGACCAATATTAAACCACTTAATTCTTCTTCATCTGTTCCTCCATCTTCTCCTAGGTTCTCAAGAAGAAAGAAACCTGTCAAAATTTTATTTTCTAAACCATTGTTTTCTCTGTAGAGAAATGTGTTGTAGAGGAGTTATCAGTGGTTCTAGTGGGTTAAAATATGTTCAATCAGCTGAATAGCTAATGTAACTTTCCTAGGTTGTAGCATGTGTTTTACTTCTGTAAGAGAACTGAATTGAATTACTTAATGCTCTCAACTACAAAGTAGTTCGAAACTGGAAAAAACATGATGAAACTCAAGATGATAACAAATCAAAGTGAAATCAAAAGGATACCAAACATACTCGAAACATTTACTCTAATTGTCCTTAATAATAAGATACTAACGTGATATATCGACTACCAGTCAACTGCCAGGATCACCACTCTCAAAGCATGTAACCTGACCGTGAATTTACGCTTGACTCCACTCGCAAATTCAGAATTTGGAATATTGAAAATCTGTTCCTTTTTGACACAAAAATATATATATATATATATATATATTAGGAAGAATCCAACGTGAAATAGATTTCATAATAATTTGAAAAAAAAAAATTATTATTATGGAAATCTTAAAAATAAATAATTATTATCAATGTATTGAAGAAAAATGATGTTATATATTTTACAACCCCATCCCTAACAAATTAAAAATAATAACATTATATATAACTAGGAATTTACCTAGAGAAATAAAGGAACAAATATTACATAAATTAATTGTAGGATTTATCAAAAATAGGCGTACATATGAAATAATTTGCGAAATATTTGAAAATGAATTATACCAGAGAGAAATATATGAATCATCATAATGGAAAAAACTAAAAATATTTTAGAAAGGAAGTTAGAAAGAATAAGATTAATAAATAATAAAATTTTAGATGAATTATTAATACCTGGAGAAATGACTAAAACTCAAGAAAAACAGATATTAAAGTTAAAACAAGAAAGGTATAAAGAAAAAGTAAGGTATTATGAAAAATTAAAAGAGCTAACAAATCCTGAAGTTATAAAACAAAAATATGATAAAATGATAAAAGAGTGTAAAAATGTTGAGTGTATAGTGTTTTATTATTGTCAATCAAAAAATAGATAAAATGTCAATCAGTGAACATATGGAAGAATTAAAATATTTAATAAGAACATTAATTAATGATGTACAAGAAATTAAGAATGAAATAAAAGAAGTTAGGAATGATGTAAATATATTAAAACTTGAATTCAGAAAATAAAAAAAAATGAAGAAAAGAATAATAGAGTAGATAAAAAATTTATAGAAAAAGAAATAACCAGAATAGGGAAAAAAAATATATTGAAATGAAAAATATAATAATAGAAACAGGAAGTATGGATGATAAGTTTAGGAAAAATATATTACCTAAAATAATAGAAGAAGACGAATCTAGAGAAAAAATATTAGGTAAACAAAAAATTGAAGAAAACCAAGACAAAGAAGATGAATGAAGAATTAGATCTACTTATAGATAATTTTGATCATTTAAGTTTAGAAAGTATAGATAATGAATACCAAATCTTAATGAATACTGGAGGAAGACCTAATCCCGTAGGAACCTCTAAACAAGAATCAATAGATCCAGATGAAAGTTATGCTCCAATGTATAATAAACCATATAGACAATTTTATGATAAAGTAAGAGACAAACAACTGTCCAAAGGAAATAAATATAATAATATATTTGAATTAAATAATAATTATGATAAGCTGTTAACCATGGAGGAACAAAATTAGACTTAGATTGCAAAATAGATACTAAGAAAGCCTTGATAACTTGGGCAGACTCAATGATATTATTCTTCTTATATAATAAAGATGATACATGGGAAAATACTGAAAGGAGAATAGATTTTTTAATTGCATCTTTTGAAGAAAATGTTAGAAATTGGTGGGAAGGAATTAGTAGTGATACAAAATCATTAATAAAAAGAAATGTACAAACAGAAATAATAAAGTCAGATAAACTAGGAATAGAAAGATTAGTAGAATATATTGCAGATGAATTCTTAGGAGAAAATTGGTTAAGAAATTATGAAGAAGAAGTAATACGAAAAAAAGATAATGCAAGAGTTAAGTTAATTAATCTAACAATTTGTGATATGTGTAAAATTAAAGAATATACTTGTGAATTCAAAGAATACTATTATACTCAATTTTATAGTAATGAGAATCAAGAAGTATATCAAGATATGTATTATAATAAATTACCAAGATCATGGGGAACATATTTTAAAATAGAATTTAAAAAATATATTAAAGAAAATATAGGGATACCTAGAACACTAGGATCAAGAATAAAATTTTTGTTTGAAATACTTGCATATATATGTCAACAAAGACCATTATTGAAAAAATCAGGAAAATTAACTAGGATATGTTGTGAAGATATGGAAAAACCTACAAAATAGGGATGTAATTCTAAAAAAAGAAATAAAAGAAAATATAAAAATAAGAAGTTTAAAAAATATAGAAACTTTAAGAAAAAATACATAAAACCTGGAAGGAAATATTATAAAAGGAAAAATAATATACAGAAAAATAAACCTTATAAGAAAGATAAAAAACAATATAAGTGTTGGAACTGTGGAGAAATAGGTCATATAAGTCCTGATTGTACAAAGAAAAAAGTGAGAATATTACAAAAGGATTATTTTGAAATAGAAAGTGAATTAAGTGAAATATCTGATATTGAAAATTATAATAATCAAGAAATATTTATAAGTGAAGTAGATTCAAAAGATTATGGATCAGAATCTGAATAGAGAAATTGAAGAAATAGAAAATAATAATATAGAAATCCAAGAATATGAGGGAATAGAAGGTTATGGATTAAAAGTAACTTTTGATAATAATAAATTCAAGAAGATACAAAAGCTATCCTTAGATTTAAAAATAGGAAAATGGGAAATTTTAGATAGAATATGGAAAAGAGAAAGAATAGCAATAAATGAATATCATAAGATTGAAAAGACTATAGATGTTAGGACAACTCAGGGAACACATAAAATAAATCTTTTGACAAAAAGTACAGTATCAGAATTATTATCAAAAATAAGTAAAAAGTATAGTGAAAAGATCCAATATGTTTATTTAGCAGGAATACAAATAATGTTTAAATCCTTATTTAGGGAAGGAGTAGATTCACCATTAACTGTAAGTTTACATGATGGAAGAATTATAAATTTGGAAGATGGTCATTTAGGAACTATAGAAGGAAATTTAGCAAATCAAAAGTTAATATTTACTTGTTACCCAAAATATTGTGTCTCGTTGAAAGATAAAAATTTTAATGAAGTTTTAGGATTACATTTCAAATTACATAGAAATGATATAATGGAATCAGGAGATCAAATTATGACTATGGAATATAGGGCATTATATACATTTACTAATTCTAATTATGGGAATATTTATTCCAATAAATCATACATAAAAATTCATAAGGAATGTAAGGATATTAGTAAAATAGTGGAACCAAACAAACAAATAAATCTTATTCCAGAAGAATATGAATTTAATATAACTAAAAATAAGCCTAAAATAACAGAGTTAAGAGAAGAAGAAGATTATAAAATAACATTTCATAATGGAAGGTTGATAAAGAAATCAAAAGTCTTACACTACCAAATAAAAAGAAATATTAGGGAGAAACTAGTGGTATAAAAGAAATAAAACCTCATGGAAATATTAGAAATATGAAAATAGAAGGAAAATATTTTAACGGTAGAAGGTATATAAAAGGACCAAATATATTGATAGATACAGGAGCCGGTGAATATCATATGACTGCAAATAAAAATGAAGGATTAATGACTTACAAAATAGAACCATATGAATATAGGAATTTTGATGGACAACTATATATTACAGAATTAAAGGTAAAAGTACCAATAAAAATAGGTGAGATTGATCTTTTAGTGCCATCTTATTTGGATGAAAGTATGGATATTGAACCTCATATATTATTAGGAATGAGTTTTTTAAATGAATTAGAAGATTATAGTATAAAAAGAGAAGGATTATATATAACTCATAAAGGACAAACTACATTATGTAGAATAGGAAGTGGATGAATAATCAAATTAGTTTTCCATTGGCAGTATATATACAAGTTACTATAGTTGAAACGAATATAACAACTTGTGCTTTAATTGATACAGGAAGTGATATAACAATTTTTAAAAATTTCTTAATAAAATCATGGAATAAAAATAATAAAATAAAAATAACAGGAGTGACTGGAGAAAGTACTCAAATAATTGATAGTACTAAAAAAGTTAATATAATACTTGGTAGTAAACAAGTCATAATAAATAAAGTATATAATTATAATAAATTAGAATGTGATATATTACTCGGAAATGATTTTATCCAACAATTCCAATATTACAAACAAAATAATTACATGATAATGTTATAAACACCTTGTGCACATCTATTAAAAATACCAAGAGAATTTAGACCCTACAGAGTTCGGCCAGCTCAGCGTGGTGATAAATGGGAAAAACGACCAATAGTACAAGA